AAATTTATATGGATACGGATGGTAAAAACAACAATAAAGAGAGATACCAAAAAAATTTATTAATCGAGGCGTGAGTAATGTATAAGGATAGATTTTATCCTTCGGAGTACAAAACTCAGTGCAAGACAATAACAATTGTCTTTCAAAATACAAAAACTGCTTCTCACAAATACGTACTCGTAATGTGAGGAGCTAGAAACAACTTTAAGTTGATTAGCACACAAATTTCAAATATTGAAATGCAAGTAAAGAGATGAATTATGCTTATGGTGTATAGGACAAAAAGGAAAAAGAAATAAACTTTTGGTTTTTAACCAACGAAGAGAACCTTGTATAGAATAAGACTTAGACACGTCCAAGAATAGGAGAATTGCTTTGTTTTTTGGTGTATCTATTTTTGACTTTTGAAATACAAAGTGCCCACCATATCCAACATATAGTTCTTTATAGTACACATATTTACATAGTAGGGGTGTAATTTGTACTTGTCAACTCGAATTCAACTCGAAAAAATAGAGCTTGAGTTAGAATTTTTAATATTTGGATTAGGCCTAAGCAAAAAAATTCTAACCCGAATTAAATTTGGGCAAGCCTCAGGTTGAGACTTCGGGTTGTCGGGTTTAACCAGATTATTAAATCGAGTTGAATTCGAATATACATAAATATATAAATATATTTAATTATTGTTAGTATTTATCTTCACTCTTTAGAGGACTGACTTTCACTTCACTTCAAGTCTTCATCCCTGCGCCTCGAGCACTCTCAGATCCCTCTCTCACTCGTCACTCCTCCCTCTCTCAGCCTCCCTCTCCCAATCGTCACTCGTTTGAGTCGTCTCAGACTCTCAGCCTTCCTTTTTCACTTGTCACTCCTTTTCTCACTCCCTCTTTCTTCGTCTGCACCACGTCTTTTATATTAGATCACTTGAAAAAATCAAATTTACATTTTAAAAAATCAATCCAAATTAAGTAATCCAAGCCCAACCCGATTTTTAACCTGAAATCAGCTCGAATTAAGTAATCAAAAATCAACCCGAGCCCGCCCGAATTAAACTTAGGTAGTACTCGGGTCGAGGTAGGGTTAGGATTGATCTCTCAACCTGCCCAAATTACACCCCCTATACATAAGTGTATTATTTATAGCTACATAACTGTATCGAGTACTTTTGTAACATAGTATTTAAACATACTTTTATTTTTTGTTGATATTTACTTTTTTTTATTTTAGAAAAGAAATTTCAAAAAAAATTACCAGATGGGCTGAGGTTATTTGTTTTTTGGTCTTTTATAAATAAATACAATTTTTGTAACCATTACAGGCTACATCATATATGCATCGTATGGTAAGTAGTGAACATGTCCAAGATGTTTTTGCAAAATTTTGTTAATGTTTTCTCCATGAAAAAATTTACTAAGTTTGTTTTATTAGTAAGTATGATTTCATTAATTACATCAAAATAATAAAACACAAAGCATCTCAAAACAACCCTTATAAGAGAAATTTTTGCATGAGTTATACACACCACGTGCTAGGCTGATGTGGTGTGTACACCCAATCACAAATTACCATGAGAGTAGCCTGTCAGACACAATACAACTCAGCATTTAAACAATGTTTTCATTGACTCCCGTTAACCACCGTTATCAAGTACAAGTTCCAACTTGTATCACCAAATTTAAAGAACTTTGTCGGGTATTCAAGAACTCATTTATATTTAGTAATCTTAAATTAGTTAAATGACAAAACGTTACAAGAAACAAAGAAAGGCACAAACGCCTTTACAACAAAACAACCAAAACAGAAAGTACAAGAAGCAAAACAGGCCATAGCCATAACATATCAGAATATCCAACAAAAGATAACAACTCTATCCAAAGTCAGAATATGCAGCCAATAAACCATGTCCACAGCAAAGCCATATCTAGTAGCACAACAACGCTAGGCCAAACAAATTTCTCATTGATTCTCACTCATTCATGCCCTTGTAAAAAACGCCATTGGAGGAACTCTGATTCATTTCCGACATTGCAATATTGGTTTGTAATAAGCTGGTAAAAGACATATTCAGGCCAGACACATTTACAACTGCAGAGTTGAAATGAGACATATCCGTACGTACATTGGCAATATCCATGCTAGTCAATGGTACAAATTGCATACACGCGCAAATCATATAATTAAAATAAAATTAATGATTGAGTAATTATTTTTAAATTTAAAATGTAACTATACCTGATTTTAAAAATTTGTGTTATCTTCCATTCCTAGAACTGATGATTGCATCCCACTACCTGTTTATAAACACATTATAACAAACTTATACGATAAAATTAATTTCATAATTTATGAAGGACAGTAGGTTGTTACCTGACATGGCTGTCCTAGGTTGTGGCATTCGGGATGTACATGCATCTCCCTTTAATGATTTTTTCTTCTTCTTCTCCAAGAAACCTTTTAGCCTACCATATGGTTTTCCTTTTTGTCTCAATCATGGAGGATCCAACACTGACGTACTAGAAATTTCTAAAAGAATGTTCTCATCATCAACTGTATTTTTTCCTAATAAGGTTGATTTGTATCTTCCCACTTGATGTACAATGTTATCCATGTTATTTTCTGCAATCTCAACAGTTGTATCATCATCTACACTATGATTCATAACACTAAACGCCTTCCACATTAATTTGTTGAGGTGCAATGTCCTAGATGAATTTTCACTACTGTCTGACAACAAAGTACTAGTCATACCAAGTTCCACCTCTTGTTTTACATTTTTGGTCCATCTTTTCAAGATATACTGTTCGGGAATTTTGTTCACACAATTCAAATTGAATACCCTTAATGCATGATGACATAACCAACCCAATGACTCAATTTTTTTACAACTACACATTATTGAATAATTCGAGCTGTTAAACTACACAATGTAGTCTCGATCACCTCCTTCCTTTCTTATCTTATACATGTGAATTGTGTTGTCATGACTGGACTGAACCTACTTTTGAGAAACACATTGTAAAAACTCATCTTGAAACAATCCAAAAATCTTGTGTGTGTATATCTTGCATGCATGCTTTAAAATTCTAGAATCACGAACTAAAACCTGAGGTTTACCATGAGCACAATTATAATCATCAATCACCTCAATTTCACGCATTTTTTCAACATTTTGTTCAAAATGATGCATAAATTCTATCAAAATCATTGTCTTACAAGTCATATGTTGAAAAACATTATTTGTGTTCTCACTCCTTTGACTTGAGCTAATGTTACAAAAAAATGTATCACGACTAAATGAAGGAACCCATTTTTCACGAAGGTTATACAATTTTTGAAGCCATGATGACACATTCAAACAATCCCAAGTCCCCATCATCTCAGTCCACTTTTCTTCAAAATCATTCTCACAGTCACAGTTATTCAAAAGATAAGAAAACATATCCCTAAACCCAGGTTCGCGACAAAGAAAAGAAATATTTGTAGTGGCATTTTTTGATATATGTCACTAACACAAGCGGTGACGAGTATTAGGAAACACCCTTGCAATAGCATTTGCCATCGCATGATCTTAATCAGCAAAAATAGTTTTTGGCACCTTATGATCCATGGACTCTAAAAAAGAATTAAACAACCAAACAAACGAAGCAGTTGTCTCATCGCATAAAAACGCACAACCAAACAACATATTTTTCCAACGATGGTTTACTCCCACAAATGAAGGACATATCATATTGTATCTGTTTGTACAGTAAGTGGTGTCAAAGATAACAACATCTCCAAAAATCTCATAATCTAATTTTGATATTCCATTTCTCCAAAAAAAAAAATTGGTCATTTGGTTTTCCTCATCAACTTGCACAATATAAAAAAAAAATGGGATTTTCTGCCTGCTGGTGCTTGAAATAATTAATCAAACTCTGACCATCACTGGTTGAAATTTTTTTTGACCTTTCAGCTTGTATAAAATTATGACGATCACTCTGAGTAAATCCAACATTTTGATATCCACCAGATTCGTTTACCAAATAAGAAAATGTTTTTGTAGCTCTTATACCAGCATCAACTATTGATTTAATAATAGTTTTACTAGTTCTTTGTATCTTTCGGGAGGATCTCATCAAGTGTCGTTGTTCATATTCAACAAAAGGGTGATTATGCTCAAAGAAAAACTGTGAAATTTCATACACGCCATTTTTCACTGTAAAAATAACACGAGCCTGACAACCACATCTCGTGTCGAATTTATAGGATTTTTTCTCTTCGTTTGGGTCCGTAAATTCTTTAAATCCCTCTTTTGAACATAAAAATACACGTATGCTAACTTCACCTGTGTTTCTTGAAAAGCTCTTATGCCCTTTTCGAATGCTAGAACCTTTACTGTATGCATATTTGTTGTACATGTTAAATGTCTCCTCTTCGCCAAACACTAACATACCAACTTTCAACTCACAATCATCGTTATTAGTAGTTAAAAATTGATCAGGTGCATTAATCTCAGAGTAGTCAGCTCTAACTTCTTCGTTGTCATCGTCACATATTTCTATAGAGTAAAATTACGTAATGACATATAGTTAGAATTTCATCCATGTGTAGCTACATCAAACATACATAATTAATTTGAATCTAAAAGGTGAAAATAAATACCAATTTGTGCAATTTCTTTGCCACAATTTGAAGCCATTGTTCAATCTATGTCCTCACTTTTCACGTTGACACCTCAACACATGATAAATACAAAGTAAAAAACATGATACCCACAATAATGGAAAATGAGAGAAAAGAAACTAATTTCTTACCAATCCTCAAATGAGACTTTTGAAATGTTAAAAAAAACGTGACTATGGAGAAAAAGAAAGAGAGATTGAAGAAGAGATGTTACTTTGAAGTGGGAATGAGAGTTCTATGATGGGTGGAAGAAGGTAATAAACAAATGGTCGGTGAATGAGTAATAGTTAAAAAAATCATGAATTTTAATTAATGGGTAATTAATGCTACAGTATCTAGTCAATCACTTGTCTAAAAAATGCAGCTGAGTTGACCTCTACAGCTGCCTTTACAGTAGTCATCCTAACAGAGTTTACTGTAAAGCTCATTGGCTTCAACAACCCAGTAACACTCCTAGGCTTCAGCAATCCATGTTTTTCCTTTCTCTTTCGATGGAAAAACTGTTTAGTTGCTCCATCCATGTGATAAGGATGAAGAATTGTTGATCTTGCTAATCCATTCAACCGCAACTTTGGAAGCATTTGCTGATCTTGCTTCAGCAACCCAGTAACGCTTCTAGGCTTCAGCAACCCAATAACACTCCTACGCATTCAGTAACCCAGTAACGAGAACCATGGAATCAGACTCCACCCAGATCTCATACTAAAACTAAAACTCTTTGAAGATCTAGGCTCTGTCTAAAACTCTTTGAAGGTCATTTTAGAGAGACAAGATTTCTCATTCACCAATACAATTTGGGTAGGGTCCAGTCTCCGTCGTGACCAATAATTCAATGCAAACTATGCAACTCAGTCGAACCATTTGCCCAATTATCTCGAGCCCATGCATCACCACCAAGAATGGTGTTTGATCAAACTATGCACACACACCCACACTCATGTCAATGCCCACGAGTGTGATGCTACCCGTACATATGTAATGTATATGAACAATTGCATTCTATATTAATATGCAACTAAGATCTCAATTGCAATTTCAATATTATGTTCCATATGTCATGTGCACATAATGAATAACATTCTATCTCATTCAACATTTTCAATTGTCAATTATATCATAAGCATATAATTACAATTTATAACATCGTCCAAGCTTGTTATTTCAATTTCATCAAAACAACATACTTCAATCATTCAAGGTATTTTATCAAACACCCACATATATCATTCAAGACATTTTATCAACACCCACATTTATCATTCAAGACATTTTATCAAACACCCACATATATCATATTTCTCAAGAAATCACATCAAGTAATCTCTACATACTCAATTCAAACTAGAATTTATTTTTCCCATTTTTCACATTTCAACTATTATAGGTAATTGTCACACAAGAGATTACACCTATAATACCCTACTCATTCCATATAGCAACCCTAAGTTGAAAATAAATCTAGTTAAGAAAGAAGCTTACCTCTTGAAACGTAAAAACAAGTTATAGAAACCTTCAAAAACACAACCAAGCTCAAACCTTGATTTTTTTCAAAATTTCATTTATGAATTTTTGGTGAAATTTGAGATTTTTGATATGTAGTTGTAGCCCTCGTCACGTAGAGGAACTTTAATTCTTAGCTCAAGTCAATTCTACCAAAAGAATGTCGTAGATCGTAGAGAGAAGTTAGAACTTTATATTTTTCCCTCTCTTCCTTCCCCAACGTAAAAACCCAGTTGAAAATGGGGAGAAAATCTGATTCTCTCCCCTATTTATACCCTTTGTAATGCTCGGCCCTCGTCAAGCCACACATCCTCTATTCTTGAGTCCGATTTTGTCCCAAAATGATTAAATTTCGTTCCGGTTCAAGTTGAAAATATTTTTATTTGAACTAGATTTAAATTATTTTCTAGTTATCAAAATTTAATTCCATATCTTGTTTTTAGGTCACGCGACACCTGATCGACCCTAAAAAATGCGAAAAATTCGATTATCTCGAAATTCGACAAAAATTGACTGAATAACTAAATTTTACGAAACGAATCTAACGGTAAAGTCTGTTATATCACTTGAGTTATAGAAAAATTTGAATTTTCAACCCGTACCTTAGTAACAAATTATCGTTTTACCCTTTTTTCACAAAAATTTAAATTTACCTGGATTGGTTTTACAGATCAAAACAACGATAGCCATTGTGAGTGGGACTGTAGCTGAGAAACACACAAGAAAGAGACTTTGGACTAAGCTTGTCATGACGACATGGTCAAAGACAAGGATAACACGAGCAGCCGAAGACTCACAAAAAGGAGTAATCTGGTGGAGCATTAAAAAAGACTTCATATGGCGATCGATGTCAGAGGACCGGAGTGGGAAGTCTGTTTATAAGATAAATGGCCGTGAAGAAGGCTTCAAGCCAAAACTTCTCGGGCATGTGTGAGTCAAATAACAGAGCAAGACTTATCTCAGTAATATGTTGATGCTTCCGTTCAGTTAAGCCGTATTGTTCCTGGTTATGAGGACAAGCAATTCGAAATGTAATGCCACATTTATCCAAAAAATGTTTGAAGGAACCACGAGTTAGTTCGAGAGCACCATCACATTGAAAATATTTGATAGTAGTGGAAAATAAATTTTCTACCATAGTTTTGAATAGGTGAAGACATGCCAAGGCCTCAGATTTAGCACGTAGAGGATACATCTAAGAAAAATGACCAAAATCATCAACAAAGAGAACATAATAATGATACCCAACAATTGAATTTATTGGAGAAGGTCCCCATAAGTCGCAATGAACAATAATTAAAGGAGAGGAGGATAAACGATCCAAATGCCCAAAAGGCATTTTATGACTCTTATCCAACTGACAAGATTCACAAAAAATATTAACGGTCATAAATTCAGAAAATGGTAAGGTCTCACGTAATATGGTCAGAGTATGGGTAGATGGATGTCCCAAGCAACAATGCCATAGATGTCTTGGAATCCATGTATCACCGATCAATGCCAAATTATTGTTGAAGGAGAAGGATGAATATGCTAGGAGAGAGTACAAGTCACCGCGCAATGGACCCTTCAAGAGTATCGTCCCGGTTCGAAGATCCTTGACACATAAACTCCAAGGAAAAAATTCAACAGAACAATGATTATCACGCGTTACCTTAGAGATAGATAATAGATGTTGTGTGATGTGCGAAACTACCAAGGTATGCAAATCTTTCAACGGTGTTAAAAGTGTGCTAGAACCAATGTGGGAAATGGGCAGAGCCTTACCGTCACCCACATACACTTGACCTGATCCGGAATAAGTAGCAGATTGTTGCAATAAGGCAGGATCAAAGGTCATATGGGAAAAGGCACCCGAGTCAGGAATCCAATGAGCTGTGTGTGAAGTCCGATTGGCAGGAGCATGAGTTGGTATTTGAAGGCTCAACATTGCTATTGCCACTGGACAAATGGCAAAAACGGCACTTGTTTGCAGCGTGACAAGTTTTAGAGCAGATTTGGCATTTGAGACAGGAGCGGACGTAAGATGGGAAGGTGGGTGGGGATTGAAGAAAAGAAGGAAGCGGTAGAGTGGAGAAAGGCGATTGTGAATGGGGGGAGCAGAGGCAACCGTATCGTGCCGTTGTGCACAATTAGGGACAATTGGGTAGCGATTGGACTTGCCGTGTGGAGGCTGAAATGTGGGAGAAGCATGTTGGGGAGAATGGATAGTTGTGTGAAAAACAGAGAAAGGGTCAACAGTACGGGCTGGGTTATGGCCAAATCCGCGACTAAGTCGCTGTTCATGAATGCGTAGGCTTGAAAAATTAATAGGTTGATGCCGATGTTTGACTGTAGTAATGAATGGACCAGAGTCAGGCCCTAAACCATTCAAAGTATAATGAACAAGATCAGAGTCTTTGACACGCTCATCAATAGCCGCAAGGGAGTCAAAAAGAGACTTGACACGGTGAAGATAATCCTAAATTGAGTCAGTGCCCTTGGAGAGGATTTGAAAGTCTTTGAAAATGTAGGATTTCCTAGCAGACGACTGTTGTTGATAAAGCTCGTCAAGAGTGTCCCATGCTTCCTTGGCACTTTTGAGACCAAGTAATTGTGAAGACAAGGATTCAGTCAATGTTGCATTGATACATGCCTTCACAAATTGATCAGATTTATGCCAAGTAAGATATGCCAGATTGGTTGTAGATTGACCAGAGGAGGAGGTGATTGTTGTTGATGGTGGAAGAACAGTGTCATCAACGAAGCCTAGCAGATAGGTACTTATGAGGATTGATTCGAGTTGATCTCGCCAAAGAAGATAGTTGTTACCGTCAAGTTTGACAGAGACAAAATTGGTGATGTTGGTAAGTGGAAAAATTGTAGGTTGATGACTTGTAGAATAGGTGTTCTATGTCTGTGTTGGGACTGTAGAAGAGGTGGTGTCTGTGGAGGATACCATAGTGATCAGTAAAAAAAAAAAGAGATGAGGCAAAAGGTTATGTTGTTGGCTCTGATACCATGAAAGAAGGTGAACACTTTGATGTAGTTGAATGTTGTTCCCATAAGTGGGTATGACTGATTGTATTTATAAGTGATATACAAGAGTTTGAATTTACAAGTGATAGCCCATAGTTATTGTAGATTAGATAGGACTGTTAAACAATCTAATCCTAAAGTTAACAGATTGATAATGTACACTGGAATGGGTTAGCTACAACTATGATCTGTTACACTATTTTATATATATATACAAAAGGTAATTCTTCAAAGTGATTTGACACTAATTCTTCGGGGAGGATAGCTACAAAAGGTAAGTACAATTAAATGGTGTCTTGATCTTCGAGAGTGAGTATCCCAATAATTGCTCCTCACGTGCTCTAATATTTCTTGGACTCCTTGGGCATTGGGTTGGGTCGAATTCACGAACTGAGCTTCACCGGTCTTTTAGCTTACTTGGGCTTACTTGAATTATTAGGTCTGACCCAGTTGAATCTAGGCTCGTCACATATAAATCAAGATCAAAGTGTCATCTCATTCATTTCTGCAATCTTAACTAAGTTTGTTTGTGCATAGATTCTGAAGGTGATGAGTCTGATAATGAGCGCAAGGATTGACCGCTGAACAAATTTAACGAACATGACATTCACTTGTGCGGGGTACAAAAGAACTAAATGAGCTTTCTTATGTGATTATTTCATTTCGTTTGTTTAGCAATGTATTACTTAGAGAACCCTACCATCTTATTGTGTAAAAGGCTGAGAAATATTGCAATAGATGATGGCATGTTCAGCCAAAGATGCTTAGTGTTAAGTAATATGCGACTAAACTCCTCTCCACTACTGTCATTTGGCTGATTCGTGAACCTCATGATCAATTACTTTGAGGGCCAAACTGTTCAATGACACTGAAACGACGTCTCATACATGGAAAGCATACATGTCTCCTATTCACGCTTTCCTTTATATTGATGAAATCAAATCTAGCCTCAGCTTCTAAGTTGTAGCAATTAGCAAAGCTAAATTCTTATATTTGAAGTTTCTCTGTTTTATCGAATGCAATCCTTCGCCTTCTTTCTTTTTTTTTATTTGTTTTTTTTTTGACAAACTCTTGCCTTTGTTTCTCAATGTGGAAGAACTTTACTGTTTATATGCTATCAGGTAATTTGGATTTCTGCTGTTAAAGTGTATATGTTTGAGTAAGAAGATTTGAGCAATTTGAATAATAAGGAAGTATGTTTAACAAAAACAGGACATAGATAGATTATATTATAGAAGAGTTGCTTTTACTTTAGGTAGTTATTGTGGCATTGAAGGAGAATCAGCAAAAGGATAAACGAAACATTCAATCCGTTTTTGAACTTGTATGCTTTATTGCGTCACAAGTAGCTTACTACACATAGCTTACTACCCAAATCTTCAGCAGCAAGCCATATAGGTTTAATTGTTTCAGCAAGTTGTTTAGGAGCCAGATCTGTAGTTTCTTGTTGCTGCCAAAAGCAGGAAAAAACAGTCGTTTTTTGTACAGGTCACATGCTGTTAGTTGTAGTGTTTGATCGAACTTGAGCTTGTTTCCCATTCTTGGGGCTATTCAGCACGCTCTTTTCTGGTTTTTCAGATTGTTTCAATTAAAGTAAAAGAATGTCCACAGAGGCTTTTTTGGGGTCCAACTAGAGTACCGAAAAGTGTCGATCCCAAGCTAGCTCCGCCATGTTCATCCGGCAAGGGACTAGTCAGGCAGCATTCACAGAGAACACAAAGATCCTAGTGGTGTCATGATTTGAATCCATAACATTCAAGTCACAATATAAAAGTAGTCACCTTCACTAGATTTGACCTCTTTTTTTTTTTATTTCAAAGGGCAATAAATAGCTGTGTTCAGATAATACATCAGCATTAAACCAACGGACAATCACCAAAACTACTCCCAACATGAGTAACAAAAAGCAAGACACTGATTATAGCTTCACTGATCACATTTTCACACTAAAATGTCTAATGTACAGTAAAGACTTTGATAACCAACATGCTGAAAATATGGTGATGTGGATGGTACACCTGTGAACTAATCCAACGCTTTTTTCCTTCCAACTTCTTCACTTGGAGTACTTGGAGATCAACTTGTCAACATGAATGATGATATCGTCTATACAAGGCCGAACTGTGGCTTGCGGCTGGAGCATCCATGTCACAAACTGATGAAGAGCATCTGGATATGGAGGACTAGGCCCAGCTGGCCACTTTATCTGTGCATTTACAATGGCCAACTGTAGGCTTCCTCCAGATTCCCCAAGTGCATACTCAAATGGAGATACCCCGTACCTTCAAAAAGCATTCATAAATAAAAACCAAAAACAAGTAATTCAAAGTCACCCACAGCAAAATTGTTACTCC